ACAGGGGCTATGAACCCAAGAGAGCTGAATATTCTCTACACTAGATACAAGATTCCTCACCCAGTAAAGGGATTTTAACAAATATAAACCTGAAATGTGAAAATGCCTTGTTTGATGTCCCACAGCATCAAGTTTACAGCATAAGTATCAGAGGGGAACGCTCTAATTTCCTTCTGACTGTTGTAGATGATCTTGTGAAGTTTGAGTTTTGCGATGGTGTCATGATTACTTATATTGCTCCTGGGTGCTCAGGTGGAGAGTCGCCTGAAGTTCACTCCTCTGGCAATTCAGACGCCGCACTGAGGAAAACCCAGTACCCACAAGTGACATGGAGATAGGTGGGTGTCCAGGCAAGCACCGTTGCCATACTATCCAAGAGGACACCAGTATACGGCCAGTATGGTGGGAAGGGTGAAGGCCCTAAACCTCATGCCTGAAGGGCAAGGTTTCTTATGAAGACCCCGGGCACGCAACCACGGTTTACACCAGCCCGGCGGCGGCACATCTCCAGGGAGAACTTCGCACAGGCAGGGACCAGTACTCAGACGCCTACAGGGGGACACGGTGTTTCCTTGTCTTTAACAACTAACTGTGATGCTTTTGTGTAATACCTCTTTAATTGGAACTCAACTGCAGAATTTTCTGAGGGCAGGAACAGTAAGTTTCACCTCCTATTATATTGGAGTGAAATCAGTGGACTGTATCTTTAAATAATAATCAGGAAAATGCCAAGTTAGTTCCAACTTGAATTTTAATAATTAAGTTTTAGCCTTAGCAGCAATCCTTATTTGTCAACAGAGAGTTTTAAGAAATTAAATACTATAATTAATTGATATGACTTGCTTTCCTTGACAAAAGATTTACTTAACTTAGAAGCACTCTGGCACTGGAAGGGTTAATTCACCCAATGGAGGAAGAGGAAGGAGTCTCTTTTAACAAACTGCAGTTTAGTAGTGAGAGAAAGGAAGTCCGTTTGTCCAAGCCGAGGTCTGAGAGAGGAGAAGTAGAAATCCGTTTACAAGCCGAGGTCTGGGAGAGGAGAAGGTAGAATTCCGTTTATAAGCCGAGGTCTGAGAGATGAGAAGGTAGAAATCCGTTTACAAGCCGAGGTCTGAGAAGTGGAGCCGGTAGCATCGAGTAGAGCAGCTGATCTCACTGCCGCACCTGAGTGAATAATCCAGCCCTTTGAATCTGGCGCGGTCTTCCTAAGTATCGTGGAAAGACCGCGTCAGAAAAAAGGGGCGGAGCTAAGCGCCGTGAACCCGGAAGTGGGTTCCGGCGGCAGCATGAATGTTAGGTATACCTGACACTAACCCTCTAGCAGTTGGTCACCCTGAGTCTCTAAGAAACGGACACTGATTTGTTATTAGAGGGCAGAGCCCTCCCTCAACCTCAGCCCGATACTGAGCTGGATACAGAGGACATGTTTAGAGTGACACATTCTCGTAGAGAGAACCGGTCACGGATGTAGACTCTACTGTTTGGTTATTAACGGGTGCGGCCCGCTCAGGCTATCAGCCGGACGCTGACACAGAATTTGGTCACATTATTAGAGAGCACGGCTCTCTCATACACTCAACGCTCTACGGTGCCATCCATTTCTTCATCACACAGGCTTGTACCTGTACAGGACATTGATGACTGCATAGAGGGGCGTCCCTCCTGCATTCAATTAGATCTAACGACCGTGCTACCGATTTCGTTATAGAGGGCTACCTGATCATGCAGGATATACATATTTAGACTGGATCCTTCTATTTTATCTCCTGTAATGGATCTACTGGATCCGGACCACTGTACCACACGCGAGAAATACTCACAGAGGTAAAACGGGGGGAGACTCCCGCTTATTTACACACACTCTTGGAGACGGTACGGCTAACGGATGAGCCTCAGGTATTACAAGAGTGCAGGTTTTGGTATATTCTGTGCTATATAAAACAGACAATTGCATTCTGTTTTGGATATCCGGAATATTGCAAACAAACTGCGCAGACAGTTTTTCCCATATCAAGATGACATGAGATACGGAGACCTTAATGGAGCAAATGGGCACTGCCTTGTTCAGGTAGCAAGACAAGGGAAGGCCCACTACTCGGTCTGTAGGTACACCGTATGCATGGACCGCATGGCAAGACCGGAAACCCCAGTTGTCTTGAGTTCCCTGGTCATTACAATCTTGGGATAAGATGGCAGGACTGCCCCTACTCCTCTGAGCACATACCTGGAGAACATGGTTCGTACGATGGAGGGCCCTCCGTCTATACTCTATATCCCTCACGGGAGCCGTCTTGGTTTGGGTTTGCGCTAACCCACTTTTTCAACTACCATCAAGGAGACCTACGAGACTCTATGGAGGAACCTGGTGTGCCCCGACTCCTACACGGACGTCAAAGTCGGGTCGCAACCTACCACTGGAGTACGGCTCAGGATGTGTAGCAGACTCAGATAGGGCTGCCGACATTCTCAAACGGGACAACACATGATTCGGACGGCTGAAGCTAGACCCTTCTTTTTTCACAATATCTGCTCTCTGGAGTCACCTGTCATGAGCGAAGGAACTTTACGCCTTGCCTGCGTATTGGAGAACGCTATGTGTTTTCGCGGGACTCCAAGCTAAGAAGGGAGGTATCCCTCTATAGGGAGACTTTGACTTCGATTATCAAACTCACATTCCTGGGTCCCTTGACCTAGGGCCTACTCTGGGAGATATGTGCCCGGACAGTTAGGGGTACAGGGAGCTAAGGGTCTCACTATATTATACCCTATCTTGTAGGTGGCTTGTAGACCAGGAACCCCTACACGAATTTTGACAGTCCAGGCATGGAACAGGATCGTACGGCGGGTAATCGGACTATTTCACTCTCTCACTACAGCACGTGAGGACTCTTCGTTGTTATACAGGTCCCAATCACCATTGGATCCGTACAACTTATCACTCTTAGACGATGACATCTGGATGGGAATCTCAACTCCGGTTTACATTTCCCATCCCTTTGAATATTTCCAGGACCCACTATTCCCAAAATAGTCGACCACCGTTCCACCACACAAGTTCAGTTTGGGACTCTGATTGGACGTCCTTTTTGGAGTCCTTTCTCTACCGCAGCCGAGGATTACACAGTCCATTTAGAATATTAGAATCACTTAGGATAGGGCTAGTTTGACCACACTCTTGCCTACATAATAAATGTATTCTCGGATGAGACATCTCACCGGGTAGGCCATGAGGGAACGAAAGATCCTACTCAGTTCTATTACGGAATTGGTGGTGGACTTGAGATTGGAGAGCTACCTGCAAGGCCACATCGCCGGGTGACCCTGGCACGATCGGAGGAGCCACTTTCATCAAGAGTTGAGACATAGTGGCTGTCTCTTCTCGTGGCCCTAAGTCCGCAAATGGCCTTCGACATTTTATAACTACAGGGAAATGGCTAACAGGTCAGCTTGGCAGCTCATGGACCGGCTGGTAGGAAACAGGTACAATGGATCTATCAGCGGATGTTTTTTTTTCTGTATTTGGAATGCTTTGTCAGCTGGCATCTTCATCGATCCGTCTACTGTCATTTATCACAGTTAGAAAGTCCATTTAGGATTGCTTGGATAGCTCCTGGAATAGGTACCAGCGAAACAAACAGCGTTGGATTTGTTGACTGAGAGTTAAAACAGCAAATACGAACCTCCTGTCATGTTATAAAATTGTAGATAATGCTAGCTTTAGTGTACCTATAATCTTAATGTTATTAATGACAGGAGTCGAGTATTTCCCACCCGTTCTTAACCCTCCCTTGTTTAATTTTAATAGTTTAGATTAATCAGGTATGTATGCAACTCTGCTTGTTGTCTCTGCTAGCTGTCACCTGTTCTTATGTCTGTTTTTTTTATAAGCAGGGTTGGGATTTCTACATATTAAGGTACTTTTGGTTTCTACATTGGGTACCTACATGTTTATTCAGAGTACATTTCAGTGGATAATCAACCTGTTCGATTCTGTTTTTCTCTCGTTTCAGTTTACAGTCCATCAACGCTATCTGGTTTGGCAGTTCTTCTCGGATGGTGGACATTGTTGTATTCATCGTATCTAGGACTTCGTTTCTTCCCCATTATGTTTTCTGCCTTTTATTCTGTTTTTGTTGCAGCTTGAAAGAGGAAATGATGCATGTGGAGGGGAGTTGTACAGTACCTAACTTTTTTCTGATTGGTTGTTTTTCTGTGCTGCTGTGGAGCAGTAAAGAGAGACTTAAGCAAATACTCGCCTCCTGTCATTAATAAAATTAAGATTATAGGTACACTAAAGCTAGCATAATCTACAATTACTAAACATATAATTCCAAATAAACATAATTCAAAATATCAAAGAAATAAACCTAAACATTATAGCTACTCTGAAAAAGGAGTTTGGGAGAAATTACACAAAACAGAAAAAAAAAAAAAAAGAGAATGTGGAGCAAACACAAGAACACATCCAATTATAAATCAATGAGTTATTTATCACAGCCAATCTCTACTAATAAAGTATCATGGGTTAGACTGAAGGTAAGCCACAAGGCAGTGGCAATTGGCGGGCACATCCAAGCTCCTTATGAAAAGCGGGTTATTCCATACCATGAACCATTTTGATTACCATATTGTCACACTCCACCATTAGGAATCAGGAACGTCTCTAATGTATGATGGGGGGTGAGTGGTCTTGGAAAGCTCCACACCCTAGCATCTGTTTTAAATATCTTTACTGAGTTGATATTGATAATCTAAAGAAATAACAGCAGTACATCACAAATCTCTCCATTTGTTTGGAGCCATTCGTTAATCTCACAGTTTATATTCCACTTGATACATTGTGAATGGGTTCCTGGACCTGATAACATACCAGTTCCCTCAGAGTAGCTGGACTTGTTTTCCAGCTTAACACGGCATGTCCCTAAGTCAATTTATAATAGATATTTTATTCTATATTGACCTGTTGATATATTGATATTTATTTCCTTCCCACTCACCATCTGTCCTAACTCCCACCCCATTTTCTCTTTCTGCTTCATCCTATAACAACATTACCTTTTGTTATGTCAAAAGGTTGTTATGTCATTGAGACAGGTTGCCATTTTTTCTGAATGCTTTATTTCATGCATTTTGTCATTGTTGATTTTATTTTTAGATTTTTATTTTCTTTTGTAAATAAACATTTGAAGTACATATTAGTTAATAAGATGTACATATTTTTCTAGACCTCCAAACCCTAAACATGATCCTTCAAGGTGCATTAATGTAGTCTTAGAATCTCTACAAACTTGGCTGTAGAATATGGCTCTCGCAACTATCTTACCCATAGACTTATCATATTTTCATATGCTATTATACATCGTAGCTTCACAAATGGTGCTAATCATTTAGTA